TGTTCATAAACAACAGTACTGGGATTGCTATTGCTTGGGTTGGGAGGGGGAGGGGGGGGCTGGGGGTCTTGGGCTCATGCTCGCAGACCTGCCCCCCCCCCTCCCCCCACTCCCCTCGCCTGACAGCAGATACGCCATCGACGACTTCATCATCCTTTCGCGTCTCCTTTTGTGTTTTGTTTGTGTAGCATCTCCATGCCCAACCCTCAATCCCAATCGTTGCTGTATTTTTCGTGCGCTGATCTTGTGAAAAAGCTGGTATCTACTGTGATTTCGGCGTCTAAGCGTATGAGTTTATGATTTGTGGACAGTTTGTGTGTGTTCACACCCTTCCCGGACCTTCCCCGTTTAGGAACATATGGTATGGTTTGTTAAGGGGCACGTGAGCTTCTTTAGACGCGTTGTATCTACTTATGGTTCAAAGGTAAAGGTCCAGGCTGTGATAAGACCGTCGGGATGTTCATCAAGGATAGTCGTAAGGATGGAAGGCATAGAGCAGCCTGGACCAGAAGGATTCCTGGGATCCTTATCTTGATATTCCATCAATAAACAAAGGTTCATCTTAGAATAGAAGCTAGATTCTGCCAATATCCGACATAACCCATGCCAACATTACAGCAGTTTGCTGGGGAATTGCGTAGGTTAGCTTATGCGACATTTACGTACTGCATGTATGTATGTATTTATCATGCATGTATGCATGTATGCATGCATGCATGTTCGTATGTCTGTATGTGTATATGTACACACACACCCATGCTTACATATACAGTCGTGCCATTGCTATTGTAGCTATGTAAAGCTGTGAAACCCTTCCTAGGTTCCAAAAAGTATTACTGCATTACAACAGAAACTAAAGTGAACTGCATACACACTACTCACTGACTTATGTACATACAGACAATCTACACCCTTGATACAATATGTGCTACGGCGCTACACAAACCATATGTATGTCCATGTTCCCAGTTTGCAGGAATTACAGTCCTGTGATTATCTGTATGGTTGTGTACTGTTGTGAAACCCCGCATAGGTAGGTCATACTGCAATGCTACAAATTGAGAATAAAGTGGAAATTCACGGACACGCGCCAACTCAAAACATAATAAGATCAGAACACGGCAGGCAAAACTTCGCCAGAGATTTTTGGGAGTCCAACTTATGTAAAAAGCAGAACGATGCATGAAATACTTTGTGTTGTTTCATGTCACTCGGAAGTGGCCAGGTGTGTGTGCTGTGTACAGTGTAGCACAATTAGTCAGTATGCGTACCACGAACATGCAAACAGATAAGCTGTGTATGTACAGGCATGTGCCTGCATGTGTGCATGCATGTCTAACATTCGGAATGCATATGCATGTCTATTCATGTGTATGTACCTATCAAACTAATATGTACATATATATATTTATATACAGATACACATGCATAGGTGCGTAGCCGTGTGTCAAAAAACCAAAAAACATGCTATGCAAAAACCCAGGCCCCATGACAGCCCACTCTCCAGAAAGAACCCTATACATGCTCCTAAGTGTACATGTATATTATATGCAGAGAGACAGCGGGAAAGCATAAGGCACATAAATATAGATATATATATATATGTATATAGATATATATATATATATATAGGTACACATTTAAACATCGCCCATGCATTACCCTGAAGCGCTCAAGGCAAGCCGGTTACCGGGAGCACCAATGTGAAGAATCGACAAAAAACCCGCACTGAGAACAGTTCAATAGGAACGGAAGTCAATTGAGGCCAGTCACAGTATAGCCGCCGTCCGGTGAGAAGCCACGATCATGAACAGAAAGTGTTCGCAAAGCAATCTGCTCAAAGCCGAGGCCGCCCAGCTGACTTGCAATGCCAGTGAAGCACATTTCGGCCACTTCCTCGCCGGCAGAAACCAAATGTCCGTTAACCGGCGCAAGCCCTAACTCTAGCAGAAAAGTTGAGGATTGGCCAAGCAGCTAGGAAAGTGAGTAAAACTTCTAGTGCTTAGCAAATGCAGAGATAACAACAGTCTCGATCTGTCCGAAACGACAAAACCGTTTAATACGAGCAGAATCTGCTTTTCTGGTGCCAGGGGCGGTTCACTCGAATTCAGCCGCGTAAAAATTCGCACTCGTCTCGTGCATGTCATGTGTTCCTTTCCTCGGATTCATCTCATTCACACCATTGGTTTGAAGATTCATTCAGCCCGCTGACCTTGTTCATCTTCGGCTTCCCCGGGCTTGCTGATTCTATTCAATACTGTTTTCCCGTCGCTTCACTTCCTTTGCATGCCGATTGCCATCAGAAGGTGGTTTGCAGACAACAGCCGTTCATGTCACAGGTGTGCTGGCTGCCCGCTTGGCTCATGCAGAACACCCTTGCACGAATGTCAACTCGTCAAGTTCTCCATGGCTTGACTGTGTCAGGTGTCCATCAGATGAGCTTGTTCAACAGCTCAGCGGTATCCTGTTCGTTCATAAACTCATTCGTTCGTTCCATCATGAATTCGTTGACTGATTCAAACACTCGTTCATGCAGTCGTACAGTCACGCATTAATGTACTCATACATCCGGCCAGCCAGACATGCATCCATCCATGCATGCATACGTTACATGCACGTGTTGCATTTAATCACCAATTCGTCAATTCACTGATTATTCCATGCATGTGTTCCTTCATTCGTTTGTTCGTTAGTAAATTCATTCCTCATGTCATGCACGCATTGTGCACCTACTCACTCACTCATTCATGCATTCGTTCGTTCATGCATTCATTCACAGACTCATTCTTTCATGGGTTCATGATTCACTCGAACATCGTTCGAGTCATCCCATCTAGTCATCACATCTAGATCCTGCTAGTGCAAGACGACTGCTTACAAGACATCTTTTCGTGCCATGCCAACTTGAACAAAACATCAAGGGGCGTAGGGTTCAGGGTCAGTCTCCCTGCGCTTTTGCCGTGTCTACGCTTTCCTCTGCAGGGTAACGCATGAATGTCCGACAGGGACAACAACAGATACGGTTGCCCACCAACAAGTAGTTGGCAACCAGGCTCTAATTTTGTTTGAGAGCATAGCCTTAATACTAGGACCAAGGAAACTGTTTGTGCATTCTTCAGTTTGTTCATAAATCGTTGGCTCATTGGTTCATGCATTTGTCAGTCACCTTCTGCATTCACGTGCATGTGTCCGGCCGTCCGTCCGTCCGTCCGTCAGTCACATGAGAGTGAGTCATGTCAACACATACGTCTAGTACAGTGTCTCTCTTCTGCCAAAGGTCTAGCTAACACAAAGAGCACAAAACACCCTGCAATCGCGACCGCATCATGGCAGTCGCGTCTGCCACATTCTGTTGTAAGATTATATAAGCAAACAGCACAACCACTGTGAAGTCAATGGGGGAAGTTCTCCAACAAAGAAGCTTTCCAAGCTGCGAGAAGGTTGGCCGAGCAGCAATGCAGGCAGATGTGTTTGCGTGTGTCAATCACGTGCAAAACAAACGGTTGTTCCTTGCTCAGACCGATGGCATCCGCGATCTGTGCACCCTTGTAGCTGCGCAGTGTGGAGATGCCCATCTTGGCCATGATTTTCCTGGACGAATCAAGCATGCAGTGGTGCTTGCAATGCCTGCAAACGTTCCAATTGAATAGCATGCTGGGAAGGTTCAGCAAGCCCTTTCCAACAGCTTTCTGATACTTCGCGAACTTCTCTTCTTTTGACCAGCTGTCTCCGAACCTTAGGCATCTTATCGCAGGGGCTGCCGAGATTCTGACCTCATCAAAACAGAGGCATGCAACAGTCTGCCTTAACATCAATGCAGCGGCTTCCCCTCGTCTCCCAGAAGCTGCAAGGCTTCGTAGGCCATGTAAGGGAAGATGGCGTCACAGCCAAACGTCAGCAATAGTGCCTCAAAATCGCCAGGCTGCCGAACACAAAGCTGCTTGCATGGCCAAGCACCCAAACACGCAGCAGACTCCCCATAGACGAAAGCATTCTCTTGGCAGATATACCCGAACAACACAAAGCCTGCAATCATTGAAACAAACGAACAAATTCAGGCACCATGTATGCATGCGATTTCTGCATGCATTGCACAGGGCTTTAAAGTGGCTCGGAGAATAGGGTCCCAGTAGAATCTATGACACCTCCATCGGTGTCAAGGTGAATGAAGGCTTGCAGCACTGATTGTCCAAACGAGCACTAGTACTGCATGAACATTCAAGGTCTTTGCTACCTGCCCAAAAAGTCAGCTGGCATGTAAAGACCGCACAACCGAATACAGCTGACTGCCAACAAGATGCGGTTAAGGTGCTCAAGGATGTGCAGAGTAAGCTTATCATAGTTGCGCAAAGTCATCACGGCACGATAACATAAGTCTGGGTTCCGTCCGCCTACGATTATGTTTGGTTACAGAAGCGCAAAACAAATAGCAAGGTTAAGCAAACAGGAAGCAAACGCCTAAGTTGTGTTTGACAGCATCGCTCGGAGGCAAAGCAATAGCTAGTACTGTATACTAGTATGCCCGCAGGATCACGACACTACGTTCGGCCTTGCTACATAAAGGTACATACATATATTTTCACTTTTCACTTTCCTCGATGCAAAGGCGTCGACTTTGCTACGATAAGGAGGACAGGGTATGACCCAGGCGTCGCTGAGCTCAGCTCATCCTCCACCCCACCGATCCATCATCGGCCCTCGGTTCGGATACCCTGACCAGGACCGGTTTCGCGAGTATAAAACACAAGGTAGTAATCTTTGGCATAAGACGCCATCTCCGCTGCCGAGATTCGGCGAGCAGATTTGGTATCATCACCCACATAGTAAGAGTTATCTTCAGGATGCACCAACAAGTTCACATAGTGGCCCTGATCCGGGGCCGTCCCGACATGAATAATTGCCGAGCTGAGGCGGTAGTCTTGAGGCTCGCACTGCATGCCATCCCTGAAAATCGGCAGACGCAAGCTATGATTCAGCATGACCGAGTAGCGACGTTTCCGAGCCCTCAGACTGTCCGTCTCAAAATGAAATCGTCCTATCTGCAAAATAACATAGTCCGGTTGGAACACAGCTGCATGCACGTGCTCCTGCTGGTGCCATCCGTCAACGAGCCCTTGCACAGTAACACAGCTAGTATCATCCCTATCTGAGAAATCATGTGGTGGCGGAAACAAGAGGGGTGCTGACTGGCCCTCGTCTCGTATTTGGAGCATCGCCTCAGCAATGCTCCTAGCCTGCCAACTCACAGCAATATGATCAACCTGAAGCATAGAGCCTTGTTGAAGGAACTGAAAGAACTCAGCAACATCATGTTGGCAGGACGGTCTGGCCCACCCTCTCATGAGGGCAAGCCATCGAGGGTCCGACCACAAAAACACTATTTGGGCAGCAGCTCGACCGGCCAAGGCACTCAGAAAACCCCTCACACCATCTTGAAACACCGACTGCAGAGTTGTACTGCTGGACAGAAGGAGGAGGGACCTGAGGATGGCGTTGGCGTAGCAGTGGTTGCTCCGGTTTCCCAGTAACATCTTCATGACAGTATTCGCCATGGACGACCCGGAGGAGCCCCACAGCGAGAGTCAGAACCCTCGACCACCAAAGTGGCCAAAGCCAGACCCCCGAGGAGGACCACCCGGCTCAAGCAATTCCTGGAACGGGAACTGGAGAGGGCAAGAGTGGTCCCGGCCGAGCTGGAACCAACAGTGGTCAAGCCCTTGGCAGGAGCCCAGCCGACAGCCACGACGAGCCTCTCGCCAAGCTCATCCATCAGACCTCAGCCAGCAGCTTGCGGAACTCCGGGCCATGGTCAGCATGCTGACCACACTGGTCTTGCGCCAGGAAGTGCAGATGAACATATACAAGCAGGACACAGCGTTCGTCTTGTTTGTGGGAAGCCAAGGTCCTGGGAACTTGGCTCAATCCCTATACGGCATAGGCGAGACATGGCGCCAGACGAAGGAGCACAAGCCGGAGCAGGTCAAGGCCCCGATGAGAGTGATCATGTTCCAGCATGTGCTGGAGACGGTGGCGACGAAATTCCAGGAGATGATGGCCACCCCGTCGTCGAGGTCAACGGCTCAGCACATGGGCTTTCTTCTGCAGGATGGAGTGTCCATCCCGGCTTTGAAATGGGACCCGACGACGAAGCAGCTGATTCGCGACGACAAGGTGGAGCCGCTCAACGTGACGGAGATCAAGGAAGCCCTCCAGAACCTACTGGTGCTCAGCTCCAAGGACAGGGTCATCAACCGCTTCCATGGCATGCGCAAGTTGAGCGAAGAATACAAGGCCCCGAGCCTGGGGATGTTCCTGGAGATAGGGGTTCGGACGGCCGAAGCCTCGGAGGCCTGGCAACTCCTACATCGCTTTCAGCAGTCGGCAGCGTGGCAGGCTGCAAGCCTCTTCATGAGGCACGAGAGGATGACAATGAGTGCCCTCGCCAAACGATTGGCCGCTTTGACCAGGGGACAGTGACGTCGTCCGCAATCTGGAGTTGTGGGAGGAGGGCCTTGAGCATCTGTAGGTCCTGAGTGGCTTCCTTGAGCTCCACGGGAACCGTCGGTTCCATCCTCGTTCCGAACGAGTCGAACATGTTCTCGAACCTGTGCTTCCGGGATCACTCGAGAGGTTCCTGCAAGGCCAACCTGTTTCCCTCGAGCCAACCGATGGTGTAGGTACACTCCATTGAAGACACCCACACATGACCTGAGGTGAGCATCCTTACGTGAGTACGTCATACCACAATAGGTGCACGGATGGCTGAGGCTGATTTTGCTCGCCTGGATGTCCAGGATGCATCTGTCTATCAAGGGTTGATGCTCAGGATGTCGGGCAAACATGTGTCTGCGAACATACTGGGGTTTGGCACACCAGTGATTGCATTCAAGACAGTGATGGAGTTTCTGCCGAACACAGTCTAGTTTGGCAAGGCTTTGCCATGCGCAATCCTTGGCCGCAGCAATCACTTCCACTGAGTCAATCAAAGCATCACTTTGAGGCGGGGCGGGTGCAGTATCTAGATCTTGGCTATCATGTAGTGCTCGAAGACCTTCACAACTGCGGGAGGAGACATGGTAGAAGAAGGCATGCCACGTCGTGAAAGAATAGGAGCAGTGACGACACTGGGGCATGCCGTCCTTGGCATGCTCCATCGGTGCTGACTTCCGAGCTTGCTGAACTTCCTGGACCCTGTCCTCCTTTTGCTGATCATCCATGTGCATACGGAAAACATGACTTCTGAGGGTGGCCTGTGTTCCAAAAGTCTGCCCGCATATTTCACAATCAAAACTGCCATGGAGCACCATATCTACCTGGATGAGTCTGGACTGACTGGGGTGATGTGGGTTCTGGCTCCAGTTAGCACCGTGCGGGTCCGACAGCTGCCCTCTCACAATCTCGCACCATTGTTGAAGCTCCTGGGTAGGCTGTAGACTGGCTCCAAGGTATCGGCCTTGACTGGGGCGGATGTGCACAGAGTTCCGGAGCCTGCCTAGGGGATCCGTGAGATGTAGCCTTGCAAGGAACTTCTTGTTGGATTCTTTGGTAATCATGCTGAATGAGTTGGCAATGGATCGAGCTTGCTTGATGAGCTGAGTATGTAGAGCCAGTGTATCCTGGACAGTAAGCCCGACACAGTCCAATCCATGGAGGATGGTGGGCCAAACACAGCCTTGCCATAGTTGGAGACGAAGTCTCATTGGGATGGACCGGTTGCTGAGGACCACACGTAATCTGCTGAAGGTGGAGCGGGCCAAACGAAGCCTGTGAAGGAAGGTCTCGTGTTCAAATAACTAGAAGACGAGTGGCCCGAAAGCATCATTAGCCATGAGTTTTGGAGCTATGTAATTGGAGCTATGTAACGTCACGGGGTCGAGTGTATAAAGTCTTAGATGGCAGCGCGTGGAGTCAAGTACAT